ATTATTAAAAAAATTTATCTTTTTTTTAAATTTTTAAACAAATATATTTTAAAAAGATAAATACAGATATAGAGTATTTTTGAAATTAAAATAATAGTAGATTTAATTAAAGTAGATATATCTGTACATGATAATATTAAGTTGGTTTTTCTATATTCGGAATATGGTTTGAACTTTCTTCATAACTTATTTAAAATATAAATTATAATTTTGATTGATTGACAGCCCCAATTCTGAGTACTTACAATTTTCTTGCATGATCTTAAATTTTATTATTAATTATATATTCTCTTTTTGCATCCACATATTATTGATAAAAAATGTATGATTTCTATACATCTAATTTTTATTTACAACAATGGCGACATAACTCCCACACATTCTATATGAACTTTATTTTTTTTCATCTTGTCAAGACAAAATAATAATAAATTATCAGCAAATATAGATGATTGAAGGACGAGTTTGGTTCTTATAACTCCGACTCCCCTTCCCTTTCTCTTCAGCTTTATTTATATTCTAGATAAGAAAGGAAGATTTCCTCTTACAAAATATGCTAAGCTTAATCCTAAAGTAGATGGATCCTTCAAAATGTTGAAGTATATTGGAGAGAATGCTTACAAGGTATTCTAGCAAAATATGACATTTATGATTTTTTAACATTTATTACTAAATTGTATTTCATTAAAATAAAGAGAGTGCGTACTTAACGATGAGTATTTTTCAGCTGAAGGAGTTTGATATAAGTATAATATGGTAAAAACATGCATGCGAATACTTCGTATTTTTCAGCTGAAGGAGTTTGATATAAGTATAATATGGTAAAAACATGCATGCGAATACTGGTGTCAATGAAAAGCTTTTAAAATCTAGTTCTCAATACAATAAATTGTGACTAATTGAGTTATGAGTGAATTACGCAATAATGCTCAAACTGTCCAATTTTTAAGACAATATTTATTAATTAGATAAAATCTCTTAACATCACTAGATTAGCTACAATAACAAAAGTAGACAATTTGTATATATACTTTTTTATGCTTAAAGGGTTGTTCCAAGACATTGTTATATATGTTTGATTTTAATAAGAAGAATTATTTGGTTCTGAATTTTTAATAGAAATTGAAAAGCTTTGGCAGTTTTTTCTTTAAACAAGTAGTCATGAGTTTTTATTATATTTTTGTATTTTCTTTAAATAAGTGTTTTATATTTCTAATATTTGAATATTTTTTAGAGGATGATTTAACAATTCTTTTTAATTTATTAATTCAATTTTTATTGATTGAATTGATTCTTTATATAAAATTAAAGTTCACAATATGAATTTCAATCTCTCAAATTTCATATCGATCTAAGATATATAATACTAACTTTAAATATATTGACAAGACTTTTTTTTTTTTTTTTTGTTTTACTTAGAAAGACTAAAGTCTTTTATTTGTGCTTTTATTTTTAGCATTTTCACGTATCATCTTTAATATGTCAAACAAAAAATAAAACAATATTTATTTTTTTATTGTGCTCAAGTTGTTTATATCTCTCAGCATATATTATAACAATACCAAACATTATCTTAATTGAACGTTTTTAGGAGCTGTAAATATGTTCCTTACAAGGGTTGTTTGACTTGTTCAAACTCTTATAAGATCATGTTTCAAACATTATAAGGAGATTTAGATTGGCTATGCAAGGAAGTCGATCCACAAGTTTTGTTTGGAAGAATTCATGGCTTGTTTTCCTTGACTTTATTAACTAATAAACTTATCCTAGTGACCCCCCCATCCCCTTTAATGGGTGTTATGGATGGCTCACAAGACAGTAATTTTTTGAACTTAAAAAGAGTCTTTGTTGATCATATTATTCACCATTTTAATTGTCCGCCAAAATATCTGTAATTGTTCATGAAGTTTTGCTAGCTCAATAAAGCCAGAAAAAATCTAAAGCTTCAAGTGATGAACTAGGATAGTCTATCAAGTTTATAAATGAGGATTATTTCTTATTAGGCCAAATACAACAAAATATTAAAAATTTCTAAATATCCAACTTTGCAAATTTGATACCAGCAAAAAAGATTAATAAGTTTCTAAACCCAACCCTGCATTGATTTGGATTCATATGTTATAGGAACAAGTAGAACTCAAATATGATACTACTCATCATGAACCTACACAATTGCAATAAACCATCTTCAAAAAAAAAAAAACAAACTTGGTTTTTCTTCTTTTTTTTTTTTTTTTAATTTCTACAAAATGGTAAAACTATACAACTAATACCCTTCTTTCTCTTTTATCTTTTTCATCCTACTTCTTCAACAACCCAATCAAAAGGAAACACAAAGGTACCCTTCTCTTCCTCCCATCACCTTCATATCCTTTCCATCCTCTTCCGTTGCACCTCACAAACATAAACCCTACAACAGTCCAACTAAAGGCCTAGTAGTTGCTTCCTAATCTCTCCATTCTTGGAGGTCCCAGGCTTCAAGTGCTTCTCTTGGAGGTCCCTGGCTTCAAGTGCTTCTCGTGACAGATTAATAATAAGAAATTATTTTAAAGGAAAAGAAGGCATTAGAAGAATGGAAGAAACGAGTAATTCATATTTCACCAACTTGATAATATTATGAGAGATATCTACACGTGAATCATATTTTTAGACAAGAAACAAAAACAAAAGAAGATTACTAGGTTACGTGGTTAAGCAAAAACAGCTTGGAGGTAATATACTCGCTAGATGAGTTCAACATCATTTACAAACTCCCAACATGTGCACCGCAAGCAAGCTAAATTGAGTCATAAGTGTTTCCTCTCCTCCTGTATTGACTGGAAAATTCGAGCCACTGATTCACTCGCTGATCTTGGATTGTGAGGCACAACCTTGATCACTCTCGTCTGCTGCTCTGTATCAATAGGCTGCATGACTGCATCTGGTGCCGTAGGAAAAAGTGGGAGTGCATTCCTTCCTTCACCAATGTTACCTATACCATCTTGCACCCTCTCACCAGGACTACTTGCTGTACTTCCTTGTAGCTGTGTATCTTTAGATGGCTGATGCTTCACTACTTGTGGTATAGTTCCAGTCTTCTGGGTTGATAAGTTACATGAGCTCTGCTTAGCTCCCCCTCCAGATAAGTTAGCAATATGACCATGTCCACCAGGTGTGCTAAAAGGGTTCATTTGCTCCACAGCTGAACCTGAAAAGGACGGACTCATGATTGGCATGCCGTATGAAGGAAAGTAACTGTGACCAACTGGAGGAGCACCAGGAAGAACTGCTACCCCTTGATGAGGAGGCCCGGGAACCCCATAAGCTGGAGCCATAAAAGCACCTGTCATGGGTGTTGGCCCAAAAGGTCCACATCCTCCACAAACCGATCCTGCGAATCCTGGTCCGGGATATGGCTTGTATACAAGTCCTTCAGAAGGGGACATCACAGGTACCAGCCATTGATGCCCAGGTGACGGGTGATAAGACCAAGGACCAACTTTAGCATCAGGTGCCACAGGTGCTGGGAGTGGATTGCGCAGACATTGCTGATTACTATAATTTGAAGGCTGGCTACCATTTCTTGCTGAAGGCAGAGATGTCTTTACGACTGCATTTTCAGCAGAACATTCCATTTTATCATTTGCCTTCTCAGAATCATCTTTGCAATTGACAGCCTGCAGCGGCAACTTTACAACATACTCTGATGTAAATTTCTTTGCAGAAGAGCTCTTTAAAGAAGGTACACCAAGAAAAGCACTATCCTCCAGCAAAATATGTGGTGATCCTGCAATAAGTTTCTGGACCTGTCAATAACACAAAAACGTTAAGCCATTTTCTTTTCAACAAATCACCATTCATAAGTCGACCTGCACCCCTATATGGGACGAATAGAAGATTAACAAATGGGATCAGAGGCCACATTACCTTAATCAATCTATGCAACTCAAATACTTGCACTGCAAACACTCTCTGTTGACTGTATAGAGTAACAGGAGTTGGATCAAGAACAAGATTGTAAAGGATAATTAAGATGATGAGACTTTAAAAACTCTAGGACAAACAAGAGAAGAACATGTATATATTCTGGAATGGGGAAATAAAAAGCAGCATGAGGATCATCAAGCAACCAAAGAACATCCTTAGATTATCCGCTTAGAGACTGCAACGTTGTAAAAGGACAGGTTGAAGTTCAGGTTATGCCATTGGCTCAGATTTAGAATTCCATGGAATTCCTTTCCAAACCTTTTAACAATGCCAAGACACCCTCCTAGCTCTAGCATGTGGCATTTATGCACCACTTCGCTACTAGTACACCAGTAAGATTTTATCCAAGAGATTAAAGCATTTCATGAGCAGAGTTACATTTAAAAGACAAACAGCTTCAGTGACATAATATGCACGCTATATACACAATACCAACAGTATGCAATATCATTTGCTAATTCACAAGGAGAGATAAAAAGTCAAAAACTAGAAAGAGCTGATAGAAAAAACTATGTTGAAACTTTTAAGCAAGTACCTAAAATCATAACCAAGAAGAATTTCAATGTACACCACAAAGTACCTCAAGGACAATGAATTTAAAAAAGCAACATGGAAGTAAAAGATCTTAAAAAAAAAGGCAGATCTTTATGACTCATTTTTCTGTATAGGAAGAACACGATATTACAAAATTTGTTATTGAAAAGTGTGGAGAAAATGTAAGCTGTAAATCAGAGCGGAAATCTATAAGCGGCTGATAAGAAAACTAGAAATCCAAGAAGATCCCCAACTCCCAGCATCAATACACCATGTAAGATAAATCCTTATTATCATCATGTTCACCAATAACTTTACAAGATCAACTACTCTCCGATTTCTCTCTTTTTTAGAGCAACTCAACAATAGCTCCAGGGATCCTCCGTTGCTCGTTTCCCCTTTGTGTTCCAAGCCCTCAACCACCAAGAAATGATAAATCCCAGGACCATAAAGCAAACTAAAGCAATACCAAACCAAGACAGGAATTCTTTCTTAATGCAGATGGGAAAATCACAATGAGGAGTTCAGCTGTCTCGGAGGTTAACTTGCGGAAAGTACATCAGCTAGTATTGTTCCTCCCCCTGCTGTAAGATGATCCAGCTTTAATATGTTATCGATGGAAGTTCAACAACACAAAAATGCTACTTTGGGAGGAATCCTGGGACTTCCTACTATAAATCACCTCACTCTTTAATCCAAAAGAAATACTAAATTGCTAGTCTTGGCATTCTACATAGCATTTAACAATCAAATTCAGCCTAGTGACACTAGAAGATAAATGTAGCTCTAATAAAGATCACAATAGCTCCTATAAACAGAATGGTTGCTTCATTTTTCCGAGAAACATCCAATTTCTAAATAGAGATTACATAACCAAGATTACAAGCTAGCCAACTAGACTAATGGAATTGATTAATGATAAAAAACCAAGTAAGTGAGATTCTTTTTTTTAAAAAAAAAGTATAAAGATGTTCTTTAAACCCATTTATTTGTATCTGACGAAATTCATTCTTTCACCTCCCACCTTCGAAACACAAGAAGTTCTACATGCATGTGTTTTTTTTTTTTTTTTTTTTTTGCTTTTATTGTGTTAAAAAATTGAAATAACATTATGCAACAGATCGTATCATATGTAGCCAAGTCCTCGAATAGAGCCACGATTAGCTTAAGTGGATACTGTCACTGAGTGCACTCAAAGTATATCATATGCATCCTCAACCTTTTAAAAAAATGAAAGATTTCAGAAAACTATCAATTAGCAAGCATCCTTACTTGATAATTGCTCTTCTTGCCTTCCAAAAATGTTTTTGACCTATTATGCCCACCACATCATCAGGAGAAATATCCAAGCTTGATATAGAATCCACCATGGACGTCTCAGAGACATCATCACTCTTGTCACCATTTACCAGCTGGAAAGACCCACGTGCATTGTTTCTGGTACATCCACTATCATTGTCATGTTCATCTGGGCTGCTGCTAGGATCATCCCTGGAACAACTATTACTTCTCAGCTGTGGCATAATTCCTTTGTCAACATCCCTCAACGAGTCGCCATCATCAACTGGTCCACTATCAACTCGTTGCAACCCAGTCCTAGCCCCTTGCTGCCACTGGGCAACATCGTCATTTAATTTGCCACCATCTCCAAGTTGTTGCCTTGAAGATCCACTAATTTCCTTAACAGGTTCATCAATCTTTACTCTGGCAGAATGCTCCTTCCTCAGAACACAATTTTTTTGCTTCTCGTTGCCCTGGTGTCTCACCTCTTGTCTTGTAAGACCTGAAGAGCTACTTTGTTTTGGCTCCTTATGACTCAAATTTTGGAGTTTCATTGAGCTTCCGGGATAAGTTACATTAACATGAGTGACCTTTTCCCTATCAACACTATTTTGAATTGTGTTATGATGTTGATTAATCCCAAAGCGAACAAATACTGGCACCCTAAAGTCGTCTTCATCTCCGCCCTTATTTCTCTGTTCCTGTTGTCCTGTAGGACCACTCACATTTGCCCCATTATGCTGGTCACCATTGAATGCATCAGCCAATCGAGTAGGTGTTGCAGGAGGTGCATGAGCTGGGATGAACAAATTTCTTTCAATGCCATGACCCTGCAAATATAAGTTTCATGAGAATATAGCTAAACGCAAAGTAATTGAACTAAAACAATAAAGATGTTATTGTAGCTTATCTACTACCATACACCAGAAAATGATGCAGATTGGAGTAGCTATAGAATATATAAATAGTTTAAAAAAATAATTCTCTTAAATGCAAAATTACTATACTATTTAGGAATCTATTATACTTTTTAAGTAACTTTAAGATTTCATTCTTATTAGTATTTATTAGTACTATTTTTGGTCTTATTTTTTTTGAGATAAAGTATTTTTTATCTTATTAGTATTAGTATTTCTTAGTGTATTGCTCTTTACAAAGATTACATAATGAGCATTATAAATATCTTTGTAATTTCACTTCTTACGAGAAAATTCAGTAATTCAATAAAATATATGAGAGTTTTCTCATTTTCTAATTGTATGACGCAATCAAACCCCTTAATTGTAATATTTAAAAACTTCTTAGATGAGATGTCTAAGAAACTCTTTGTAATATCTAGGTTTTGATCCTCAAATCCTTAAGTAGACAAATCAAGAATATTTGTCCTTCATCACAAAGTCAAATAGACGCTGAATGTGTTCATACAAATACCTAAAAGAACCAATTATAGCATATAACTATAAATAAACAAACATGGTGCACAAGAACAAACTTGCAACTCTTAATTTGCAGCCAAAAAAGTAAAATATAAAAGGAAAAGAAGAACAAGGAGCCTAGAGATTCGCTTACAAGCTATGCATATTCGCTTTAGTCTGAAAGCTCTAATCAATTCATTTCTGAAAAGATATTTAACATGAAAAATAAGCATTTCAATCAAGATTTTCAATGATTTATGCGATTGCTAGATGCAAAAATATTTTAGTAAAAGATATTGTCGAACTGAATCAATGGCAAGTGATAGTGTTTAGAAACTTGCAATATTGGAAAATTGAGGAATGTGAACATTTGCTCCAAATTCTGTCTCATATCCACCTAATTGACAGTAATGACAAACTCATATGACAACACACCAAATCTGTCAATTTATCAGTTAAGTCCCTGTATAAGATTTTGGTCGGCAATATTCCACAAGAACAGACAAAATTTTCAATTAATATTATTTGAAAATCGGGTATCACTTCAAGAATTTCCTTTTTGCATGGGAAGCAGCAAAGGGCCGCCTTCTTTCATTAGATAATTTAATAAAAAAAGGCTCTACAATTGTCAATAGATGCTTTTTCTGCAAAAACAGCAATGAAACGTGTAATCACCTTTTCCTGAGATGTCCGAATCTCTCACAAACTCTGGTCTAGTATTCTTGGCCTCATGGGACTATCTGAGTCAAACATAAATCAATTTTGGATAAGCTTCTTGCATGGAAAGGATTGAGCTGTCACAAGAAAACTTTTAGACTCATCCCTCTCACTATATTTTGGATTATTTGGAAGGAAAGAAACAATTGTACTTTCGAAGGAAAAGAAGTTGACTTTAGAATCATCACTGACAACTGGTTCCATTATTTTGGGTTTACTATTTTAGGACATAACATCGAATACTTTGATGATCTCGACTCTATAGTCGATTGTTTGATCGATCGGTAAATTTTTTGTAGATGGGCGGTGCCCCCTTGGCACATTTACTTCAATACAACTTCATACTTTTATTTCAAAAAAAAAAAAAGCTCTAATCAACTTACTTGTCAACTGATGAACTAAATTGGAGAACAAAGTCAGTAAGTGAACCAAATTCAAATATCACTTCTGCAGCTGACAATTTAGAAGTTGCACAACCTACCCCAACTAAAGAATGGATCTCTCTACAATTCGATATCAACTTAATAACCATATGGCAGCAAGAATGGCAATAACATTCTTACATTGCACTTATATTCTAAGTTTGAAGACCAACATTCCCATTGGATCCTTACATCCAGGTTGTTGTAAACTGTGGAAGAGAAGGAAAGATCAACTTTTTTGCAAAGGAAATTGCTTGCAACTGTTTCCTCAATAGCCCTATGTAGCAACATAACCTTCCTCCATAAACCGTTTCACAAGGACAGAGTTACTGAAAGTGGTGAATGGCTTTAAACCAATACATAAAAGCTTGAGAAAATCTTACTTGATTAAGTGAATCCAGGCCATCTTTCCTTTCATATTTTTAAAGTACAAAAGCCATTTTCTGACCAACACAATCGATAGCTATTCTCAACCTTTTAAAGAAACTAGACCCTAAGATATCTCAAAACTTCTAAGTAAAACTTAATAATATAAGAGATATTGATGAGTGTGAAATAATAATCTGAATTACCGTAAAAGTACAGCTTCAGTGGTTGCAAAAGAACGGACACCTTAACAACTAAAAGTAGGAGATGTGTTTCTCCAAGTATTAAGTAACCTGCAATCTAGAGCCTCAGTGGATGGAGAAAGAAGCACACCTTAAACCAAAACAGCCTAAATAGCCTGGGAACTAATGGCCCAAAGCAGTACTTAGGGAGATACCTTATGGATATTAATAAAAAACAACATCAGTAACTGTTAAGAGGGTAAGAATATTTCCCATACAGTCTGTTTGAGAATAGTAAGCTATTTTTCTCATAATCTTTTCTGTGTGTTTCTTATAGTTTTCCCTTTTCTTATTCCTAGGTATCTCTATAATTTCTTTGATATAACAAGAAAAATAATGATGAAATCTTAGTTCAATCTATTCGTTTAGCAAAACATTAATAAGATATGCCACTCGCAATAAGTAAGATGAGAACCACGAGAAAGTGCATAAGATGTCTGAATCAAATTGAAAACTATAAGGACTGGTGTCTCCTTTCCATAAATTTCAGAGCATAGAGCCCAGAGAGACATAATTGTGAACACCAAACTATGATCTAGGCAGTATCCTTACTTCTTTCATATGTCAATGTAATTGATAAGAATACATGTGACTTTAACAGGAAGTCGTTGAGATCTTCAACTTGAAAAAGGAAATTTGCCTACTAGGCAAACAGCTATAGGTGGAAGAAACCAATCATTAGGCAATATTTACAAAATTGAGTAAGGTTCAGGAAAATGTCTACCCAGAAAATACCCTCCTCATCTTACCAAGTAGCAATAACTAGTTGAACAGTTTGTTGACTACTCCCGGGTTGAACCATAGTTCAAAGTTTCGTGAATAACAACAGTTAGATAGGTGATATTCAACTTAGCTCAGCAAACGAACCTATGGATTTAATGGCAAAGTCTAGGTGGAAGGCATTAGCTTTACTCAAGCACAAGTGAAACTTCCACATATGAGCAGTCCCGGCTGAGTTGAGCTCATTCCACAATGCCACCCATAGGAACGGCAAAACAAGGCATCAGTAATGACAAAAGACCCAAAGAACAGAAACTATTCAGCAAAAAAGGGGTCCAAACGAGACTCTGATCTCGAACAAAAAAAAATTCTGTATCTTACCGGTGACTGTACATTTCACTATAGTATGGAAGCAAAGATAAGATGTATACGACTTAGAAGTGGGGACTGGGGCTTGTGCAGCTTCCAGTTGAAAGATCAGAGGGCCCAGCACGCGGATCAAGAAGCAAATGGAAAATGCTAATGTGAAAAAGATTCAAGAGAAATCTTGAATAGGTCATAAATCCCATATATTTATCAAAACAAACCTCTATTGTTAAAATGGAGGATAACATGTAGTATGAAATCAATAGTTAACAAAGCCAATCCTTAATCCTCCAAAAAATGATCGATAGCAGAAACAAGACAGACTATATGCTCAAGTGAACAAAATATGAGATAATCATCACAGTTCAAGGCAAGAGTTAAGCTAATCTGAGAAGTTAAACGACTAACAAACCCCAATTGTTAACGTGGATAATAACATGCGGTAGAAGATCCACAGTTCTCTAACCCAATCCTTAATCCTCCAAAAATAATTAACAGCGGAAATAAAACTGATGATATGCTCAAATGAATTAGATCACGATAGTAACCATAGTCCAAGGCAAGAGTTCCATGTCCTAATCTGAGAAGTCAAATGACTAAAATTTAAATAAATAACAAAACCAATAAACAATAAGCAGCACACTGAAAAGGAGAAGATTATCAAAATTTCGTAAAAAAAAAATTACCTGAGTGGAGGATCCTGGAGGAACCAAGCTGTTAGTATTACTTGGATTAAGAGCCAACACTCCCGGACTGTACCTCTGAGAAGGAATACTAAGCTGCTCGTACAGAGCCATCTTATTCCTCGGCGGTGCTCTAGGCCCTCCCTTATCAGTATCGTTAACATGTAATCTTGGAAACAAAGGCTCCGTAATTTTCTCGTCGTCTTTCCCTCTCTTCATCTTCTATTTCTCACGCAAAATTCAACACAAACACCAAATCAAAAATATTGTTTCCACGAAGAATTCACCAGAAGATCCCATGAATCATAACCACAATCACCGTAAAAGGGTTTCTCCACCTGGCAATGGATTTTTTAACAACACCTCAGAGATGGAACCAGTCTCTGTAATATAATCGCAATTGTAAAAGCCCCAAAAAATAACGAAGCCAAACCGGTATCTTTTATCAACGATAAATCAACATTTTCAATAATCTACAAGAAACCAGGGACCATAAACATCGAGACCCATCATCAAAACCAAAAAATTGAACAGACCCAGATGGGAAAATCAGATATTTATCAGGGGAATTGATAGATTTTCAGGTGGACCCAGCTAGGATTCGTGGCAAGAATCGATTAAGTGAAAGAAAAGAAAAGAGAAAATCGAAGGGAACCAGTTTAAACACGAGGATAGCGAAGAGGTAAAACTTGTTAGGGATTCCTAAGAAGATGAAAAGGAAAACGAAGAAGATGATTGTGAGAACTGAGACAGAAAAAGTGCTTGGGTTGTAGGCCCTGGTTGGATAGAAGTAGAAGGTACTTGTGGATAAGCCCCCATTAGCTTGTGCCCGATGATCTTAGTTTTGTTTTTATTTTAAATGCACTTTCCATTTGTTTAATTCTCATTGTGGTTGGTTAGGTTAAAAATCAGTAATCCATTATTTTTTTTGGCCTAATCACCTCTTCCCTTTCTCTAATTTCTCACGATGGAGACTCCTATACCTCTCTATCTTGTATTTCGTCTACTATGCGAATCTTCATCAAATCTTTATCCACTTCAACAAACATTATACAAATTCCCCAAAACATAATCACAACTATGTCATGTTAAAAAAATTAAAATTAAAATTAAAACAAATTAAATTCTAATATTGTACTATTTTCAGTGTATAACTTTATGTACGTAATGTAAATTTAAAAAAATTAATTATACGAAAACAATTATATACAACTAAAAATATTTTTAATGAAAAAAATAAAAGAATACAATGGGTAAATCAATGTGTAAGTTTTTTTTAGTTGCAAATTTTATCTCATATTTCTGTCTAAATTATACTTAATTAGTTAGATCGTATAAATCTATTAATACTTTGATTTTATTTTTTTTTTTGTATAATTTTATGGAAGTTTATATTGTAAAGTGATTATATTTATACCGAATAATTATTGTTTTGTTATATGAATAATACATAGTGAAAGCTAAACTAAATGTCATTTTAAGATAAATGGTTAGTGTAATTTTGATTGTATCATTTTTTTGTGATTTGATGATATTTTGATATCTTTAGTAATCATTCTTGATAAAAATAAAACGATTCAAAATCTATTTTAGTAGAAATTTTTTGAAACTAATCTTATCCATCCATCACTATAATCAAATAAGCTTTCATCCTCAAGGAAGGTTATAAATATTGATTAATAAATTTTTATGAATAGTACTATTATACATTTAGACGGAAGTTAAATTTTTAAAATATACTTATAAATTATAATAAAAATAATTGTTTATATCGGAATAAGTGTTTTATATATTCTTACTTTTTACTGTCTCCCCTAAACTTCCGGATAAAATGTTTAATATTTAATCTCATTTTTAATAGAATCAATTACGACCCTTTTGTTTCGTTCAAAAAAAATTAAGTTATAATCTTCAGAGTTAATTTAGTCATTCGTATCATCTCATCTGTCATTCGTATCATCTCATCTATGATTACTTTGTGATTCTAGTGGAGATGTAACTACTTAGAAATAACTTATGTACACTATTATTTTAATTGTTATTTTTATGTATAATTTACAAAGATGATTTTATTTTTGTCTTTTTTAAAAAAAAAATTTAATCATTTTCGCATATTGCAGCATAAATGAGATTTTTTAAGCCTTAAAATTGGTTGCATATTCATTAATAAAATTGATAAATTTTAGTGCAAAATGTTAAGGAATTCAAAAAGCTTTTTGCCAAAAGAAAATTATACTAAAGATTGGGAGAAAATTGAAGAAGCAAAGAACTATATTTTGGGTCTTTTGAAACTTCATTTCGAATTTCGAAAAGCTTTTAAGTTGTAATCCTACAATTTAAAACAAATATTAATTTGAAAAAATGTGGAAACTCAAAGGTATTTTCTTTTGAAATTTCATTAAAAAATAAAAAATAAATAAGTAAATAAATAACATGCAAGTAAAAAATGTGATGGAACTCTCGTTAATGATCTCTTGATTAAATTTGTCATTTTTGTAATGGCAATGCAATCGAATGCATAACACTTCCATTAATTAATCATGCCTTACTCTATTTTTTATTTTTGCCTCATGTCCTTTTGCTTGTTTTAGTACAAAAAGGGAAGGGAACATGACAAAATTAATCGTCAGCACGAAAAGATCACTCTTATTAGAGTCTCTATTTGACTCAACCAAGAGCATATTACATAAAAAAAAAGGTGATAATTCTCGAGTCAAAGAAATAAATAATGCAATTATCTGAAGATTTGATGAGAATGATAAGATAATGAATTCAATAAAGAAGGAATAACTCATTTCACACTCATATTTAAATGACTTCCTCTACAAAAATTGCACATCACTTAGGTAGTTGCAACCTATCTGTTTTCTTATTATTCTAGTTGTGTTGCCAATTGAGAAATAAGATCAAAATTGTGGACTCTCATGGGCTTTCTTATGGGTGCGCTTTCAACGGGTCATTGATAAGAATTGGTTGTCATCTTTTCCAATAATCCCAAAACTTATTTAAAAGTCTTCCTCATTGTCATTGCCATCTAAAGTTGCATAAAAAATATTACGTGTAGAACCACTCAAATAATTATAAAATATTAGTACTTATAAGCATATTGGTAGCTTGTGATGAGGATGTCTCCTAAATAGATCTTTGAAGTGTTCCCATGCTTTATAGAGGATCTTGTCATTAAGCTACACAAACATTGTAATTTTATTATATAATTTTATAGTCTTAGTTACTTACTTAAAAGTTTATGCGTCATCTTATTTCCAATGGTGATAGATCTTGAATATGGGGAGAGAGCAATCAACTTTGTCTTTATCTTATAATAAAAAATGAAAACCTTAATTAAATTACATTTTTGATATCTCATTATGTTTGAATGTGTCACAAATCTCTAAAAAGTTAACCAAATTAATGTTTGTGGCTTCTTAAGATAACTCTCTAAACTATACCAACTATTGAATCTTGTGGCTTCTTATGATAACTATTTTAACCTATTGTGTTTGTGTCTATGGATGCCCTTTTTTCCAATGCATATTCTGCATTTTCAGTATTTGAATCTAAAGCTTTAGGTGTTGCCCCTTTAGTACGTGCAACGCACTAAAGATAAATTTCATTAAAAAATTCAAATATTTAAATAAAATGCTCAATCTAATAAATATAGTCACAGTAATTATAATAAAAATATATTTTCAATTCTCAACAATAGTGCCAAAAACTTGATACAATTAAATAACATTAGCAAGGGCATTATTTGTACAAATAATGAAATAAATAACAATAGTATCATTCCTAAGAGGATAGATTAAACTAATTACTTTATTCTTATTATATTCTTATATCAACTGAGCTATCGAGATGAGTGATTCAAACTAATAAGATTAATTCACTAATTATTAAACATATAATTGAAATATTCTTATGAGAATAAATTCTAATGATATTTAGGTGCTAAAAAATTAATTTTACCTCCCCCTAGATAACAAAGAGTAACGAATGAATGAGCTTAGTTACTAAGTATATATGACGAGTTATTCTACTATGTTTAATGTCTCTTAGTATTTGATTATGGATTTATGCATTATGATGTACCAAAAGATGATGCATGACTAATGAATCTTTTAAATACTTAAATTGATTAATGATAGGAAGTGTCTTGTAGGATATGCCATGAAGGAGGTAAAGCTAGGTCTAAGAAACATCCTACAAAACTTGTCATTAGTTTATTCTACTTAAGAGGGATGTTAAACCAAACAAGGATTCCACAAAACTTAATTCATTTTAATAGGATCTAATTTGAAATATACTTGAAAATGACATCCCCAAATTATATCTAATTACGATAGTTAATTCTATTTGAAAAAGGAAATTAAATAATTGAAAAATCAACCATTGCATGATACCAAATAACTAAACTCATTTAATTATTATTTTTTCTTATTTGGGGGGGAGGTGAAATCGATTCCTAACACTTAATTGTCATTAGAATTGATTCTTGTAAGAACACTCTAGTTATAGGTTCAATAGTGAGTAAACTATTTTTTTTATTAATTTGAATGGCTAATATTTTAATAGTTTAGTTAATATAAAGATAAACTTATATTAGAGCAATTAGTTTAATTAATCGCCATAAGAAAGATACTTTGTTCACTTTATTACTTGTATGACACGTGCACTTGCTGCTAGATTTGGGTTGCATCAACTTTTAGCCTCAACTAGAGAATTCTTGCAAGAATGAATTCTAATGACACTTAAATGTTAAGGAATTGATTTTATATTTCCTCAAATAACAAAGACTAATGAATGAATGAGTTTAGTTATTGAGTAGATGTGATGATAGGATTTTCCATTATTTAATTGTCATTTTTAGAGAGAACTAACTATCCTAAATGTATGTAATCTTTTTAACTTCGTTTTTAAGTAAATTTTAAACTAGATCTTATTAAGATATATTAAGTCATATGAATTATTTTTCAATTAAACTTCCATCTCGGATAGGTTAAAACTAACCATATAAAGTTCATAGAATAGTTCTTAAGTTTAGTTATACTTTTTTCATGGTATATCTTACAAGTCACTTAAATAATATCACATTCACTATCAATTTTAGCATTTAAAAGATTCATCGAGTATGCTTCTTCTTTTGATACATTATAATGCTTATATCCACATTTAAAGACTAAAAAACATTAAGCAAATTAGAATATACTCATCATACATAAACCATAGCTAAACATATATTTAATTCATAAACTCAAAAATACCTAGAGTTCATATCTATCTTCAACAAATTAAAAGATTGATTACTGATAGTAGGTTCATGCATCTTAAATCCAAGTTTTAACATCATAAGCAATATTTAAGGAAAAAGAAAAAAGAAAAAAAAATACTTAGTATTGGGATGAAATCCATGTTTCAAAGCCTCTCCTATTTTCTTTGTTTCTCCTTTTTCTCCCTGACTTCAAATCATTTTTCTCCTTGTGTTTCTCACTTTTCTCATGTCTCTGAAACAACTCTCTAAGGAGTAGTTTTTACTTCTAAAGTAAGTTATAAGATGATTTTAAGGATTTTTCTTGAGTGGCTATAGAGGAGGTAAAATTCAACTAAATATGATTCTTTACCTTGTCGGGTTATAAAAGCAAAAACAGAAACACTCAGTCTAGAGATGAAATCCATGCTTCAAAGCCTCTCCTCTTTTTCTCGTTTCTCCTTTTTCTCCCTAACTTCAAATCATTTTTCTCCTTGTGTTTCTCACTTTTCTCGTGTCTATAAAACAACTCTCTAAAGAGTTGTTTTCCCTTATGAAGTAAGTTATGAGATGATTTTAAAGGTTTTCCTTTAGTGCTTCATAGGAGACAAAATTCAACTAAATAAGATTATTTACCTTGTCGAGTTATAAAA